TATATGTAGGATCATATCGTCTGCAAATAGAGTTTTATTTCCTTTTTGCCAATTTGGATGCCTTTAATTTCCCTATCTTGCCATATAGCTCTGGCTAATACTTGCAAAACAATATTGAAAAGGAGTGGTGACAAAGGGCATCCTTGTCTGGTTCCTGTTCGCAGAGGGAAGACTTTCAGTTTCTCTCCATTGAGAGTTTTGTATGTATGCTCTTGATTATGGTGAGGAATTTCCCTTCCATTCCTACTGTTGAGTGTTGTTACCAGGAATGGCTGTTGGATTTTGTCAACTGCCTTTTCTCCATCAATCGATATGATCATGTGGTTCTTTCCCTTTTTCTTATTTATGTGGTGGAATACATTGATGGTTTTTCTAATGTTGAACCTTCCTTGCTTCCCCTTTATGAAACACACTTGGTCATGATGTATTATTTTTTTAATGTGGTGCTGGATTCTGTTGGCTAGGATTTTGTAATTTTCTGTTTTAGTGATGTCTTTGCCTGGTTTGGGTATCAGGTATATTCTTGCTTCATAACATGAATTGGGGAGCTTATCCGTATTATCTGTGTTCTGGAATAATTTGAGTAAAATTCAGCAAAAACATTCTTTGAATGTTTGGTAGAATTCACCAGTGAAACATCTGGGCCCAACGTTTTGTTGTTGGGAATTTTTAAGATTTGCTCACCTTCTGTTCTCATTTTCTGCTTGAGTCTGTGTTAGCCTAGGTAGGCGGTGCGCTTGGAGAGACGTCCATTTCCTCCAGAGTTTCTGATTCATTGGTTCCCGTGTGACCACATCCCTATCATTTCTTATTCATGGTTTTGCATCTTCTCCTTCTTTTATTAGAATTGACAGTGGTCTGCTGATTTTGTTAATCCTTTCAAAGAGCCGACTTCTTGTCCTGTTGGATCTGGTGTCTGCTGCTTTTCTGTTTTCTCACTTATGTCGCTCTAACTGGTGTGGCGCTGTGGGTTCAACTGCAAGGTCGGCAGTTCAAGCTCGCCAGCTGCTCCTCGGAAACCCTACACAGGGTCGCTATGGGTGGGAACTGACTCGATGGCACTTAACAACAACCTGTATTATTTATTATTTCTTCTGGTGGCTGTAGACTTACTTTGCTGTTCTTTTTCTAATTTTTGGAGATTTAAAAATTACAAGTTTTTTTAAGTTTTACTGTTTAAAAAGTTCTAAGTTTCTACTTTTCTGAGTGGTTTCAGTGATGCAGGTTTTGATGACGGTGGAAAGCTGGGTCTAAGTGTCCTGGGGGGCGGGGACGGGGGCGGAGCTCCGCGGGGCGGGGCTTGGAGATGAGGTGCCATCTGAAATGAAGGCGCTCTCTTTTCCATCTCAGGTCTGCCTCATCGGGAAGTCCAGGACATACCCGCCCGCCAGGGAAGCTGCCGTGGATGCGCAGAGGGCTCAGTACATTCACAGCTGGGGGGGCCCTTGGGGTCCAGGGCAACAGGACTGCACCACCCCCCAGGATGGTCCCAGAACCCAGGATGCGGGAGCCCAGCCCAAGCCAGAGCCTGTGGCGGCTGCAGCCCCAGCACAAGACTCCTGGCTGCCGGGCTTCCGGCCAAGGGACAGAGTGGAGCGCGTGAGGAACTGTGCCGCCCTCCCTGGTGACTTCGTGGACCGGGTGGTGGTGCAGGTGGCCCATCTGCTGCTGGGCGGGAAGCCTGCGTGCCCTGGGGACGCTTCTCCAGAGGCCGGTGTGCTGCCCTGGAACCCGGGAGGTAAGGCGCCCGCCCACCTGTGCGCAGATTGTGCCGTGTGGGCACCTGGGACCTCTGACCAACATGACAGGCCCATGGGACAGCGTGCCCCCTGCCAAAGGGTGACGTTAGAGCTGCAGCCAGTGCATGCTGATGGAGAGAGGTGTTCTCACTGTGTGGGTGCTGATAGCGGGGCTGGGGCACTGTTTGTTCTGTGTGGTGGTGCTGCTAGGGGGGGGACCATTATTGCTGATAGAGGACCCTGTTCTCAGGAAGGCTGTGACAACTGAGGCTGCTGATCGAGGGGTGCCGTTCTCACTGGGGGTGCTCATATAGGAAGGCCGCTCTCCTGGGACAGTGTGGCTGCAGATACTGGGTACCAGCCTCAGGTGCAGGCAGAGACATGGTGGCAGGTCCATGGGATTTCTACCCCGAAGGCCTCGCTTCTCTCTCGATGCTGCACCACCAGCCCTGAGCTTCCGATTTCTCATGGGGTCAGGTCTGCCCCCTGCCTGTCCACCGGCGTGCCCTCAGTGGCCCCCACAGGCCATCCCCACATGAGAGCAGTGCCTGCCCTGTGGTCTGGGTGTGTCCACATGAAGCCAGCAGGCCGGCTTCAGGGCCCTTGCTCACCTGCAGGCCCTTGATGGGGAGTTGTTGGCAGACGAGCTCGAGGACGCCTCCTTTGCTGCAGGTTTGACCTTGACTCTTGCTGGTCTATAGAGGAGACACATGAGAACAGGGTTTCCAAGGCGGATTTTGGCAGGAGTTCACCACGCCTTTCTTCTGATGCACCTCTGTGTGATCTCAAATACACAGGCTTTGGGTTGTCAGCTAAGTGCACTGTCCATCTGCAGCCCCCCAAATCCCTAGAACAGGGGGAGGCCAATTGTAGCTTCAGGTGACGAGTGGTTTGGCAACAAACTGCTGTCTGTGCGCACAAGGCTTTGTGGGGGCGGTGGTCAGAGCCGAGTGTGACTGGGGGGGGGGGGCTGTGACCACACGGGAACTGTCTCCATCTCGTGTCTAGGACCCCTTCCCACCAGCCCATGTCCTGCCTGTGGTCGGCAAGCTCAGGGCCCTGCCAGTAGGCTGTAGTGTGGGCCGGTAGGTGGTGACCTGCCTCCTGTGGGCAGCTGGGCCCTCTGTCCTGACGGTGGGCCAGGAGGAGACTCTGAGTCTGTGGGGTCCCCTGGTCACTCACCTATGGTGCAGACCCCTGACCCCCTGCCTGTAGGGACGGTGCCCCTCACATGGCTTGCATTCAGGAGCCGCTGTGCTGGCTTGTGGGGGGCGAGGGGCGTGGGTTTTGGGGCTAAGCTGACGTCGGTGGCTTTTTCTGCCCCTTGAGCAGCGGGTCTGTGATGTCTCTGTTGTCGGGGAACCCCCGTCTGTCCCCAGGAAGCCTGTCCTTGGCAGAAGTGGCCAGCAAGCTGGACTCGGAGACTCTGCAGAGACTCAAGAGGGAGTGTGGGGGCCTGCAGACACTGCTCCGTAACCGCCACCAGGTGTTCACAGGTGAGATGCCTCCCCTCAGGCTACCTCCCCGAGAGGTGACAGGTGGTTTAGGTTTAGACTCAGCATCGTTTGCTGAAAAGGCTGGCACCCAGCCCCCACTGGCCACTACTGTCGCCTCTGCTCCCTACATGCCCCGCATTGGGCCAGGCTCCGAGGAGAGCTGCCCGAGGAGGCCTCAGGTGAGCTGTTTGTGGAAGGGGCACATTGGAGATTGAAGGTCCCTCCTGCAGAGTTGAGAGAGAC